AGACTGTCAGACCTTTAATTATTGAGTAATTGTCAGTAAGCAATGGCAGTGGTTAGCGATATGAAATTAATGCCGTAATCCAGCCCCGAAGTAACATAATTGGAAACAGTGGAAATGTCTCCCCTGGCAGGAACCGTTCGTGGCATTCGAGTCTCCCGTGGCGAGGTCTGGAAACCCACTGGAGCGATGGAAGTGCACTCATGTGGAGGTAAACGGCTTTAGGGATGGAGGGACTCGGGCGAGAGGTCTGTCATGTGTAAGGGGAGGGGGGAACATCTTGATCGTGTTTTCGTGAAGATGGACAATAGGCACGGATGGTCAGTGCCGAGTTAAGTAAATTGCCCATGAGGGATTGTTAATGAGACTGTGTGGATTTGAGGTGAAATAGGCAGCCGTGTGTTAATAAAGCAGTCTATCTTTGTTTAGATTATGTGTGCATTAGCAGATTTTCACGACTTGGTTCATGCAAGTGTGTTTAGTGCTACTGGTGTTATTGTTGTTGGCAGGTGAACAAAATTAGCATTTAGATTTGTTTTGTTCAGAGAGAAAGAATACATGGAGGGATTTTAAGGTCACACATGGTGTATTTTTGGGTTTTCGCTCCATAAAATAAGTTGAGTCATGACAGATGCTGGCCTCTGTGTGGCTATTTGAAGAAAGCTTGCCGGCCGAGATGCTTTCAGAACATACACTCTGCGCAATTTGTTTGTAGTGACTGCAGCCATACTGAGGTTTATCCATGCGTGACTAATGCTAACTGCAAGTGATGGCTCTATGTTTAGCCCATCATGTTTGACTCAAAATACGAAGAACTGTACATCTGGAAGTGTTTTAGCCATGATCCTAACGCATATTGGCGAAAGCAGTGGGTCAACTGCAAGTCAACCTAAGATTCAGCCATGTGTTCATAAGTCATTGATTTCAAGGCGACAAGAGGCAGCCGTAACATGATGTTATATAGATAATGGATTGTCACATTGATATTCCCTATTGGAGACTGTCAGGAACTGCTTACTTCATGGGTAAACAGACAGAGCCTGACTTGTAAGGGTGGTCAGACAATGGTTTGATCATGTGTGAGTAAAGCTGACTTGGGGTAATGGAAGTGGTCAGGCTATGGTTAGCTCATGTGTTTGGAGAGGCAGTTTGGTAATGAGAGCATTCAGGCTTCAGTGACCTCGCAACGCAAGCACTATGACGGTGCCGCTGCATTGAGCCACACTATCTGGAAGGAGTTTGATTCGGGTCACCGACGGAATAAGTGAGCCAGGGCAGGAGGAGGGCTCGGCGCAGCAGTGTAGGCTAAGGGGATTTTCCTGTTGTAAATGTGCGCATGTATGTGTGCCTGCTTTTCTGTGCGAGAATGAGCGTGTTGACTGTTTTACAAAGCAGGCCAGCTAGAAAACAGTATATCACGATGATGATGATGTCTGATTAGAAGTCCTGGATTCAGAGCCTCATCTGTACTGCTTTTCGTGAGGCTTTAAGTAGACACTGTCCCTGGGGGAGAGTTTATTTGCTGTGAAGTGGTGGTCACCACGAGGTGTGTTTGTGTGCGTTTGGGAGAAAGGAAAAAATGAAATCGCATCATATGACCCCTTTAATGCCATCCTCTGGGGTGGGAGGAAGTAGTCACAAAGGATGAGTCTAATGCAAAGGAAGGATCTTGAATTACGCATGCTTTTCACAGTTAAAGCTGGGAATGTAATGGTTCCGGTTCCTTAAAGTCCCCATGAAATCAAAATTAAAGTTTTTTGGGTGTTAGTATCAATATGTTAGTCTTAAGGTTATCTATAAGGCAGTGTGCTCCAAAACAGTGACAAAATTCGCATTTAGAAGATATAAGCATTCAAAGCTTGCAGTTCGTCACTTCCGCCAAAACGGCTCAATTTTTTTTTTGACGTCACATCGTACTTCAGCTTCTCATCAAACTTTCTGTCCAATCAAATGCTCTCTAGAATCCGAAGCGGCCGCCCCTACACTATAAAATAGACGCTGAAGCCGCGGCTGAAATCGGTCACTTGAATTAGTATTTTCTGTACAGTGAATGGCACGTAGTGCACTATATAGGGGACAGGGAACGATTCAAACAGTGTAAATATGCTTTCCATTGAGGAAAAAAAGAAGTCTGGTTTCGCGCTGTGTCACGCTAAGCACCGCACCGCGCACACACTCTGCTCCGGTCCAGAGACACGATAGCACGGAGCGGATCACATGCGCGAGTCGGCGCAGACCACAAAATGTATCGGAGCTATTTGAATTCTACACAGCATGCTATATTTTATAGCAATATGGATGAGATTGTGGCTGGCATACCCTGTCAAATGCGGCTTTACGAGCTCAACGGCTCTAGCCCAAGCTGTGATATAAACGAACGCTATTGGATATTTTAAAAAGGGGCGGGGCTGCTTGATATGTCCCGCCCTGTCTTCCTGTTTCAGTTAAAATGACGTCAACACAGAGTAACGCTGCGTGTTTCTAAGCATTTCAGGGGACCTTTAAAGATTTAACTTTTGATTCTCTTAGTACTTGAGGAAGAACGCTCTGACTTATTCAGTCAGTGCGTGAGTCATTAGACAGATTCAAACCGATATCTAATGAGTTTGAGATGATTTTTTAGGCTTTTTGGTTGATTCATTAAAAAGAACTGAAGAGTCATTAATTCACAAATAATTTGTTGTATGTTTGTTGTTATGAGCAACCAGCAAGTTTATCGCAATCAAAGGCATCTCTTCGTATTATTAATTGTTGTTCTCTCATCACATTTAATTCAAACTCAGAACTTGTTTACTTTATTGTGTTTCTCGTTTTATTGTTCAGGTTCATGATTTTTTTTTTTTTAAGATTTTTCTTTAATCAAAATTTAATAACATGGACTTTCTCTGACATGACTTTCCTGTTTTAACAAAGTCATTTAGCTATTTAGGCATCACATTCAGGTCTGGATCCATATTAAATGCAACACACTGTTATTTTAGTATTATTTGTATACTATTGTAGTATTTATTAATATTTTGAATTTGCTTTTATTTTACATTTTTAGTCATTTTAATTTTAGTTATTTTTTGTCATTTTTATTATAGTTGTTTAATATTTATTTTGTGCTTTTATTTTTATTTTAGTGTTAGTAATGTTAGTACTTCAACTTGAGCAAAAAAAAAAAAAAGTTAGTTGCCAAGGCAACATTTCTAATTTTGGTTTACACCTTACAACTTTAAGGTTTTCATCTAATATTTTTATTTCAGCTTCTGGTTTTCATTTTTTATTTTATTACAGATTCATTTCAATTAACGAATATGATTTGAACAGTTTTAGTTTTTGTTAACAATAATAACACTGATGCAACATCCACTTTTCACAATCCAGTCAATTCCCGATGGATAAAATCACCTCCCATCCTTCATTTCTGCTTGTTTAGTATCCTGTTTCACTTGGAATTAGTCACATTGACCTTTAAACACACTTCTGTCTGCATCAACAGAACAATGCAGATGTTGAAAAATTGTTAACATAATAAAAACTGGTTCTACATTCCCAACAATATTCACTGTGCCATAGAAATATGCGCTATACATAGGTACATTAGAGAAAGAGGTGAATTAAAAATCTACACCTACACATATACACCTACATCTGCTCATTTACATTTATTCTGATTTAAGAGTGAGTGAGGTGTTTATGAAAGTGATGAGGTGGAGGTGAAAATCTGAGTTCCCTTGTCTTCAGGTGAGAGTGCTGTGAAAAGAAAAAGAGAATGAAGGGCAAAAGAAGAAGGATGCAGAAGGGTAGCGCAAGACAGAAGTGTGCGTGCTGTGACGGCAGCCCTGTTTCTGGGATAAATCAGAGCCTTGGCTCCATGTTTAGAGTGATTATGCAGAGTACCATCATGTGAATGTGCTGGCCTTTATTCCTTCACCCACACGTATACTTCTCTTTCTCACTTTCTCAGGGTTCTCAGTGATCCTGACTGTACAGGCCTCTACAAATAAGGGTGGCCTAATGGCTTGGGGCAAGTGTAAGAGAGTTTTGAGCCAGTTGACGGAACTGTCAGTTTCCCTATTGGGCCAGTGCCGGGCTGTCACTGCACATTGCATTTGTTGAGCGTGTACATGTGTTTTTATGCCTTGTAAATTTAAACATTTTGATTTCTGAGATGTTTTAAACATTGTTGGTGTGAATTCTGCTAATTTAAGTATGTTATTTAGCAAGTGAGGATCTTGGAAGCATAAATCGGAAATAGTTAGAAAATAAAAATTATGAAATTTTAATTTAATTTATTTATTTATATTTTTAATTTTTTTATATTTAACTTATTATTTAAAATTGTATTTATTTATTTTGTTTTTGTTTATTATTATCAATTTATTTCTGCCATGAGAAATGAATATATTTATTTGCTGTTTTTGTTACAAAAAACTAATCTGACTCAACCAACCCAGGCCAATTTATATATATTTTTCCGCTATTTAGACATTCAGGCCTACTAATTTAGTATTATAGTATTATTATTTATTTTTACATTATTACACTATTTGTTCATATTTTGAATTGGCTTTTATTTTTGTATTTTTGGAATTTTCATTTTTCATCATTTTTATTAGTTTTGTATATTTCAATTTTGCTTTAATTTTATTTCAGTTTTAGTTATAGTCATTTTAAAAATACATTTATTTGCTGTCATAATTCTGTCATAATGCTGTCATAATGTTTTTTTTTTTGTTACAAAAAAAAATATGTTTAGTTAAAAACATATGCATAATAAAATATGTGGCTAAAAATAGCTATTTATTTAATTGTGGGGTGCCAGTATAAATGTTGGCAGGGCAAGTAAACATCTGACTCGAACAACCCGGGCCAAAAAAAAAAGAAGCTTATTAATGAGCCCTGCTGTGGGTGTTGGAAGTCCACAGAGAGTTGACTCAGGCATGTGGATTTATTTATTTTATTAAGTTGCCCGTTCGTTAATTATTTGGTCGACCTTGTCATCTCTCCCTGTGTAGATACAGCCCTATGTAGCAGCAGTGGCAGTGCTGAGAGAGAGACAGGGACTCCCAGGTGGGGTTCTGAATCCCCAGAGCAGAGTGATGGAGCCATCCCAGCCACATAGCCTCACAGTTGGGCTATGGTCGTCAGGAGCTCATGTGATAGTGACACATAAGATGGTGAGTGAGCTTGTTGCTATAGCAACCCCAGTCTTTTATAGAGCGTGCTTCCATTTCACCCAGTGTGGGAGAGAATGATGGAGGGAGAACGTTGAAGAGAAGGCTGCCAGGAGCTATAGGAAGTTTTGGAAGGGTCTGGAGAGCAGAGAAGGAAAGAGCGATGCTGTGGTGTTACTAAGATGACTTCCAAGTGTGGAGATGTTGTGTGGGCAACTAAAGTTAATATAAGAGGAAATAAAATTCAGTTGAAGAAAATGTTTAAGTTTGCCATGAAAAATGCCATGATTTTACCATTACCAAATTGGTGAAACACTACTGTTGCAATCCAAATTATTCACTCAAGTACTCAGCTGTCACTTTGTTTTAAAAAGTGGACTGGATTTGTTGGTCTAGAGGTAACAGGGCTCCACAGTAAGGATGGCCTGAAGGTCCAGGACCAGTGTAAGAGAGTTTTGGATCTTTTGGACCAGTGCTGCTTTGCCACTGAAAATCTTACATTCATTGATGTTTTACAGACATTTTATACCTTGCAAACTTAGCAAAAATTTGGTCTTCTACAATATTGTTGCAAATTCTGCTGATTTGTCACATAGACAATGTTATCTAACTGGCTAACATAGATGAGCTTTTGGCGAAATTGCAAAAATGGTGTATGATAATTTTGAAAGCTTCAGTATGAATTGCATATGTCATTGTTTTCCAGCAAATGTGTGAACTTCCAGCTTGTTATACATTTTCCTTTTATTAAAGAAAAAAGTTATTTTTTTAAATTGAATAATTTAATCATTTATTTAAATAAATTAAATAATTGTAATTTTAACTAAAGCTGTGTGTTTTTGTAGACTTACCATTTAATGAAAAATATTAATTCTACCAAATATATAACTGCATTGTTAAAAAATGAATACTGTATATGATGATTCTTGCATTGAGGTGCAGGTGAAAATGTTGGCATTGGAAGTTAAAATTGTAAAACTAATTTAATAACTACTGCCCCGACTGGACCAGCAGAAAATAATCCATATGGTTGAGCCCTGGATAAGGTTTTTACTTTGAATATGGGGAGTCTTGGGTTTAAGTTTTTCTGTATTAATTTGCATTCTTATCTTTGTTGAAGAAAAATGTTATATTTATTAACTATGCTTAGTAGATTTTAAAACAACCACATGGACTGAATTGAAATGCTTGGACTGAGCTGACATTATGCGGCGCTGACTGCTGGCACTTGAATAGCCAATAATCAATTGGGGAAAATGTCCAAGCTAAAACTGTAATTTAATTGATTTTCTATCGGGTGGTAAATCAGCCCGTCCATAGCCACTCCCCTGAAGTGATGGCCAAGGAAGGCTGGAAAGAGAGTTGAATGAGAAAGGAGGTAGATAGAAAAGAGAATGGGCAGAGATAAATATGTCCACCTCCAGAATGGTGCAACAAGCTGACAGGTTTGCATGAGGGAGGAGACCTGCAAAGAAACACTGCAGCATTGGCTGTCAGATAAACACCGCTTTTCTTCTGCTCTCCTCTGTTCATGTCCATCTCCCCACACCTCCCTCCCCACTGCTTTATTCGCTCACTTTGATTCTGATGGCACTGCACTGAGAGAGACATGGTGTCTGTCTCCACGGTGACAGGTATCCATGGAGAAATCCATCAGTCAGTATGTGTCAGCGTTTCCATGGGGATGCAGATCTGGGGGTGTTTGTCAGCGAGTTTTGTGCCGCACTCTTATCATGCTTGTCATAGATGGTGTTTATCTGTGTATGTATTAGTCATGGTGTCACTCAGAGTGTGGGGTGCAGACTTATGGCCTTCTTAGACATGGACCAAAGTGTGTGTGTGTTCAAAACAAACTTTAAAACACTTCTGTCCCAGTTTAATGTGCAGAGGACACTACAAGTATTCTAGTCATGTCAAGTCACATTTATTTATATAGCTCTTTATACAATACAGATTGTATATAGCTTCACAGTAATAAACAGGAAAATAGTTTCCATCCAAAGTTGTGCATTTAACTTATGCACAAAATTGCAGTATCGCATAAAACATTTGTGAATAAAGCACCGTTTCCAGGGAGACGAAGAGAACAAAATGGTAAGTTCCTGATAAACTGGCGACAATTTCAGAACAACCAAAACAACATTTGAGATGCTGTGCAACTAGGTCGGTCCGCCGGTTTGTACAATTATGCCGTCCCATTGTGCAAAGTCACATGACTTTTTTGGCGTGCATTGAGGAATTAATTCTGTAAATGTGTTTCAGTCATAGTTTATGCACATTTTCTTATCGGATAAAAAATGTATCCGCCTCAAGCATGCAAGTTTTTTTATGCACATTTTTAGAATGTATGTGCATCTTGGCATTTCCATCCAGCGAAAGACAGGGTGGTTGGGAAACCTGTTTGGAAAAAATTATCGTTTTTGAATTTCCTGTTTGCTAGTGGTACACACTTCACTTTCGAAGGGATAGTTCACCCAAGAAGTCTGACATCATTTGCTGACCCTGTGTTTCAAATAGTTTCTTCCATAAATTGAAGGTCAGTGAGGTCCAAAACAACTTTGGACTCTGATTTCTTTCTTTGTGTAGACAAAAAAAACAGTGAGACATTCTTTGAGTTTCAAAGAAGAAAGTAAGTCATGCAGGTTTGGAAAGACATGACGGTGAGTAAATTATGACAGAATTTTCATTTTTGAAAATCTTTAAACTCTAATGATGTAAATGCATCACCAACATGTTTATACAGAAAACAAAATCAAGCACACGCACACGCGCACACAACTGTGTACAGAAGCATTGGTTTCACAAGAGGATGCATCCACACCCCACTGACCGAGACATACAGAGTCTGCATGCTTCTAGCCTGCAGAGCCACATGAAATCACAGGAGCGAGAGGAATGAGAAAGAGAGAGAGGTGGTCAAAAGTGCTGAAGTAAGTTTTCACAGAAGGCCCTGGAAACACGGATCACTGAGATGAGCTGGCAAGGCTGCAGCTACACTGCCACTGCAACAGTGTGATAGTTTACATGCTTCTGTAAATGGCTGAGAGACACTCTGATTAATGGCTGCTGCTCTGCTCCCCTCCCAGCCAAACAGGAATCAAGTGTATCAACACTTTTAGCACTGCAAAGTGCCAATTAATTGTTTGCCAGAAGCACGTGTATATATGTCTCACGACCTAGGGGTGTTTAGCTTCAGAAAAGCTCTTTTATTGCAGAGATAGTCAAGCGGAGAAAAACTTTGGCTGCATTACCCCGGCAGCAGCAGCATAGAGTAAACTAGAAAAGGAAAGTTCAGCAAGATAAACAAAGTCTCGCCTGAAAGTTTAAAAAGCCTTGAGGACTGAAGGTTGTTTAGGCCTCAAGTTTTTTTAATAGAAGATAGATAGATAGATAGATAGATAGATAGATAGATAGATTTTTATGTTTTTTTCTTTCCTTAAAAAGAAATGCATTCATGTCGACTGCAAAACATAGATTAATTGTCAGTATTTTACCCTACAGAATGGCCTTACATATTTTTTTTATTATTTGCACAATATGTACATAAAATATAATTTTGTTGCATCAGCGTTTTTTGGGGCAGAGCTAGCCTTAAGGTAAAACCGTGAGTCTCATGATTTAGAAAATATAATGTACTGAATCAGAGCAGCCTAAGCGACTGTAGCTTGAAAGCTCTTGTCAATACTGTCAGAAATTTCCAATAGAAGTCTGTGGGATATTTTATCATCCACTAGTAAAAGAGTTTGTCCTTTATAAAAAAAAAAAAAAAGCAATCTAAAGAGGAACAGGTTGAAGAACAGTGCCGAGTTTGGTGGCTGTAGCTTCAAAGTGAGCAATAATGTTTGGCTTATAATTCACTTTGTTATATATACTACACATTCTAGCAGTAGTGTTTAGATGGACCCCATCACAACAATAGGTTTTATTTATTAGTTTAAATAAGTAATCCTTAAGATAAATGTAATAACTGGAAATACTGGAAGTTTAAAGGGGGAGTTCTCCAAACATTAAAATTCTGTCATCGTATTAGTGTGAACGAACTCTTTAGTTGCACAAGGCTTTAAATTTACGAAGACCCTAGCTTAGGCATTGACTTACACTACTGTTTGGGTTTACACAAACGTTTGGCGTCAGAACGATTGATTATTTATGTATTTATTTATTTAAAGAAATCTTTTATTCTCACCAAAACTGCATTAATTTGATCAAAAATAAAACAAAAATGGTAATATTGTGAAATATTATTAATATTATTTCAGCAGCCATTACTCCAAACTTCAGTGTCACATGATCCTTCAGAAACCGTTCTAATATGCTGATTTGATTCTCAAGAAACATTTCTTATTATTATCGATGTTAAACAGTTGTGCTGCTTAATGTTTTTGTGGAAACCATGATACATTTTTTTCTGAATTTTATTGAATAGAATAGAAATCTGTTGTAAGAATATAAATGTCTGACACATTTGATCGATTTAGTGTGTCCTTGCTGAATAAATACAAAGTTTTGTCATGAACTCTAGATGGTGCAGGCAGATAGGTTCTAACTCAATCTGATATAATCACATCACAATTCACATGGTGCAGCTGATTGGTTCTTTCCGTATCAGCAGCCAACGAGCTTGCTGCTCAACATTCTTAGCACGCTTCAGAAAGCCTCCACCTTCCCCAGCTCCACCTGTGTAGATCTGCTGCAGAGTAATTTCATATATGTTATAGGGGTATGTTATATATTTCATGTATGTTATATATTTCCTACATGCTCACAGCAGCATGTCTGTAGATGTACTGACTGTAGCAAGTCTCGGTACTTGCTCTGCTGCAGCAGCAGTAGCGTAGCAGATCTATTCCGCCAAGACTAAATACATTAACATTTCCATGTATATTACCATTCTAAACTTTCAGAGAGTTGTCATGACAGAAAGGTAATTACTTAAAAAAAAAAAATAAATAAATAAATTGTACAGACCCCAACCTTGATTGGTAGTGTGTGTTTAACGTAGGGTGTTTTTGCATGAACTTTTATTTGTTTTGATAAGTGTCCTCATACAGAGAGGCTAGACACCAACCCTCCAGTTGCATCCTAACAAAGAGAAATGAAAATGCAGTCAGACAGGAAGTTT